TTTTTTTTTAAAGAGAGTCTCTGCATGTTTGTTTGCTTTCCTATGGTTTAGAAACTGTAGTACACATTGAAATGGTCTACATTCTTACCCAGAACAGTGGGTAAAAACCTGCCCCACCAAATTCTGGCCACATTCTCACTAACCCCCGAAACTAAGCTTACAAATAGACAAGCAGTATCGACTCAGCCAAGAAGCATCATCTCAGAGGGAGGGAAGGAAGGGGTGGTTTGCTAATATCTAGTCCAACTGGGACTTTCAACGTGGAACAATCCCCGCAGAACCCAAAGCAGCCATTGCTTCTATGTGTGTTCTGTGTGTCTGTCTGTCTGTGTGTCTGTAGGGATCTGAGTAAGAAATAACCTGTTTATAGTGTAAGAATTCATAAAGTAATCAAATGAAACCTTTAGTGCAATTGACTGCAGATAGTAATAGCTTAAAATTCTTTCGTCTTAACACCATGCAAAAAAATGCCCATATGGGATGAGCCACCCCCACCCCACCCCACGCAGGTGACAGTGTGAGGTAAGGTGACAGTGAGCCGACACACAGGGTGACCCTCATTTGGACACCAGGCTCCCAAATATATCTGGTCTCTCCATCCATCACCCAGGAAACAAATCCCAAGGGGCAAGAGACTAAGCTCTCATCTTGCCTAAAAAAAGCGGGGCCCATCCATCAGTATTTACAAATCCAGCTAGTGAAGTTCTGAGAGTACTTAATTAACTCGTAGACTGCTGAGCATTTGGTCAGAGCACTGCAGAACTAAAAGGGACCTTCAAGATTGACTCTCTAGGTTCCACTCCCTCAATGTGCTGATGATGTAACAGAAATGTAGGCACAGGGTCTGAAGGGCCCAAGATCACAGGCCGGGTCAGGGGAGCACAGGCAGTCCCACCACCTCAGCTGCAGGTCAGGAACACCCCTATCTACACACACATAAGGCCTTGCCCCAAAGCAAAGTCCTAGGGTCGCCACTGGGTTCCAACTGGGCATTGAGCTGAAGTCTCTCCAAGTTGTCCCTTGGTTCTCACCAGTAAAAACTTCCAGATCCGCTGTGGGGGAAACATTCAACACCCAGTTACCAAAAAAATCAACAGACACTGCCCATCAAAGCCACTGTCCCTGTGGTCTATCCATGTGCAAAATCAAAACGTTTTCTCCAGGTTTAGGAGTGCAGGTGGGCAGGGCAGGGCTGTTCTGATGTGTGTGTAGAATTTGTAGCAAGTTGGCCTTATCCACGCGATTTCCCGTGTTACTGGACCCCATTTTAAAAAGGCAGCTTTCAAACAACTCCAAAACAACTGGCCTCCTCCTCCTAAATCTCAGCTTGTACACAGGAAGTGGAGCCCAACCCTGGATGCCATCCCAAACCTCGCCTCTCGAGAGTAGGTTGCATGCATGTGTACATGCTAAGTCAATTCAGTCACCTCTTGACTCTTTGTGACCCTATGGACTGTAGCCCATGTAATTCTCCGGGCAAGAATCCTGGAGTGGGTTGCCATGCCCTCCTCCAGGGGATCTTCCCAACCCAGGGATGGAACCTGCATCTCTTGTTTCTCCTGCATTGGCAGATGGGTTCTTTACTACTAGCGCCACCTGGGAAGCCTGGAGAGTAGACTGTAGCTTGTCAAACACCGTGCCCACACCTCTAAAGGGTCAATCTCCACAAAGAGAGGGCTCTTCTTCGATTGTATTCATCAGGGCCTCAGTCCCATCTGTACTCGGGGAACTCCCGGGCAAGGGCTGTTCTCGCTCCCTCTGTGTGACTGGGACCTGACGTGTCTGGCCAAGGGCCTGGACTTCCCAGGGGGCTCAGTGGTAAAGAATCAGCGCAACTGAGTGTCTATACACACATGTACCAACATCTGGTGTAGGGCAGAGTGTGGTTCCATTTGGTAGAGTGTGCAGCATAGAGTTTCGAACTGTTTTATTCCAGCTATATGCCGAGTTCCTGCAAGACAAGCAAGTAAAGTGCAAAAGGGTGCTTTCAGAGGGCATTTTTAACAATACAGAAAGGGTGCCACGAGGCGAATCCCCAAAACCAAAACCAAAATAATGTACAATGATCATCCGTAGGACAACATGTTAGGCCGTGTCCACACAGAGACCTCATCCCATCTTGGCAATAAAGAGCTTCTCCCTACCTCTGAATGCTATGTCCAGGGAACTAGACAGACACACATGCATGCACGCACACAGACACACACTCACAAAGTACACAGCATGGACACTGCAGCAAAGTCAAAAGCAGACTTTGGTCAAATAGACTTTGACCGCCAGCTCTGCCACCTTCTTGCCGTGTGCTCTTAAGTAAGTTACTCACTGGCTTCCCTGAGCCTCTGTGTCATCTCCAATGGGTGTGCAAACACTTCCCGCAGCGCGTTGCTGGGGCAGTTCAGTGAGCTCATGCCCCTAAAGCGCCTCATCTAGTGTCTGGCCCATGGGACGCACTGGATAAATGACAGGGAAGCCTCTTGGCCAGCTCTGCCTGTAGAGTCTAGAATTTTAACCCACTATTAAAAAGAAGGTACCAAGTAACCGAGGGTAGAAACCCAAATGAGTAAGATCCCTGGACAGTTTAATCAGGAAGCTTTCAACATGTCAAAATAAGAAAATCCCAGTTCCCCACGCTGTGCTGTGCTTTAGTCTGACTCTCTGCAACCCCAGGACTGTAGCTCACCAGACTCCTCTGTCCATGGGATTCTCTGGGCAAGAACACTGGAGTGGGTTGCCAGGCCCTCCTCCAGGGGATCTTCCCAACCCAGGGATCGAACCCAAGTCTCCCACAGTGCAAGCAGATTCTTTACTGTCCCAGCCACCAGGGAAGCCCAGTTACCTACCAATTCCTTAGCACACATCTTGTCAGGCTGGAATGACTCCCGCAGTGAGAACCAAGGCCCACCCCCACATATACATCGCTGCCCAAGCGTCTGTTTATTACTCTATGGACACAGGGCATCACCAGTGAGCCACAGCCCTGCGGCAGCATTAACCCAAACACACCTCGGACAGGGCAGGGTGGGGGCAGCGCTAATCAGACCTGATTCTTACTTGACTCCTTTCCCAAAAGCAATGCCACTGCTTTAATCAGAGCTACAGTTGGGGGTGGGGAGGGGCACACGGGGGCTCCATGTGCCCTAGACAAAGGAGAGCTGTGCATTTAGGGGAAATAGCAGCAAGAGGTCTGCCATGGCAGAAGCAGTCAAGGATGTGGTGCTATCATTTTTCCCTGGAAGTTTCTGTTGGTCCTGTGACCTTTTGACAAATCCACCCTGCGTGTTAGCTAGGTGACATCCCCAAACAGTGGTACTGAGAGTCCAGGAGACCCATAAGCAGCAACTCCCAGGCGTTGCCAGGTCCAAACACTGAAATGTGTGGCACAAACAGCTAGGTTTGAACCAGGACAACAGCCAGCCAACTCTGAAAAAGGCTGAGGCACACGTGGGGTGTTTGGTATAGTACATACTTTTCCCTTGCTGCTAAAAATCGATTCAGAGTCTTCCTCCCCAAATCTATGACCCATCAGATCCCCACTTTCCTTCGCCGGGTGTTCTAACCTCATGAAAAAAAATCATAATTATCACCACATGTTGGTTACTGTTTGCCTAGAAACAATCAATCACAGTAGCATTGTAATTTTAGTGGCTAGCATGTACAAGTGAAGAAATGAGCAAGGAAAAAGAGCGATGCTTTCAGAAAAAAGGAACACCCAAACATAAAAGCAAAGTCTTTTAAATACTTCTTTTAAGTATTATTTTTAAAAAATGGCAGTAATGGCACTTAAGCTGCAAGCAATGAAAACAATTCAATCTTCTCGTACAAGGTTTGGTTTGAGGGATTCCTTTTCCTTTTGTTTGCAAATAGCAGGATAGGACCTGGTGTCACTGTCTACCCTAAGACACCCAAAGGGACGAGAAGCCCTGAGAAGGAACGATGCCATGGTCCTCCTTGGTATGTCTCAGACATGCAGGATGTCTATGTTCACAAACATTTAGGATCAGCGAGACAGGACAATAAGCCACTGGCATCATGCAAGGCAATAGTTTTGGTATTTTTCCCCCTTTTATCAAAACCAATTGTAACAGAAGTTCCACTAGAAAAGTGAACATGAACATTTCAAAACCAGTTTATTGTCACCATTGCACCCTTTTGGTGCCTGTTTAGCGCACCGTGCACAGAGGAAAAGGCATGGTTTTTGCCCGTCACCACGCAGCGGCTGAGGTTGAGTGTTCACCAATGCTTGCGAGTCCGATTGGACTACCTGTGAGAAAGACAAAATTCAGCAGGCTTCTGTCATTGGTTAAAGTGATATCCACAGTGTGATGTGACTGTTTTTTGTTTTTTCTCTTATAATGAGGAAAGCAATTGCACCTTTTGATACGTGTGCTCTCATCTGCTTCCAACAAATTCTAGGTGCTCTCGGGTCCCAGGGACATTCATCTGGAGCTTAGAAAAGACTAGGGATGCACTGAACGGTTTTGTCTCAAAATCGGAGCTCAGAGCAACATTCCAACATGTCCACTCCGACCCCAAGTGACAAGGACCAGTCCACCTCCCAGTCCAGTCCCCTTGTGTGTGCGTGCACACATTACTGACAGTGGGTTCAGGAAACGACTTCCTTTAAAAGACACACCTGTTGCTTTCAGACGGCTGGTCTACGGAATAGCTGCCCTTTCGCGCCCTCCGGAGCGCAGCAGCGCTGCCCGGGGCCACCACATCCATCTCCAGCACGTGCCCTGGACCTCAGTGGCCGTGACCTCCTGCGCCCGCGAAGGCGCCCTGGGTGTCCTGCAGCTATGATCAAAAGCCAAGTTCTTGTTCTTTTGATTCCGTTTTGGCAGAGCGAGCTTTCTCGGTGGTTTATGGCACAGTGAAATATCTTCTTCGATGCTATGTAATTTCGAACTAACGAGAAGTCTTGTTTTAAGGCACGTGTCTCAGGGTGAATATATTTAAAAACAAAAGACAAGGCTGGGTCACGTCCAGTGCGTCCTTCGCGCTTAGTTTCTGGCTTCCAGCAGCGCGCTGCTGTCGCGCTCCGCGTCTTTGGCGTCGGCGGGGCCCACGCCGTCCCCCGCGCCGGCCGGCAGCTGGGCGCAGTCGGTGAGCACGGCGGTGCTGGAGTGGTCCGAGTTGCACCCCTTCTCCGTGTCGTCCTCCTTCTTCTCCTCGTCCAGGGAGTAGTGGCGGAGGGTCCTGTAGATCCTGTGCACGTCCTCGGGCAGGGCCTTCCGAAGGTCCCGGTTCTTCCTCTTGGTGAGCCTGGAGGCAGAGCCCAGCTTGTTTACGATGTTGTCCTCAGAGGCGCCCTGCCCGCGCTTCTGCAGCGGCTCCGACGCCTGCAGCCGCAGGTTGTTGGGCCGGTGGTCGATGCTCTCCTGGGACGAGGCCTTGCAGCGGCCTGCGTCGAGCGCGGCGAACACGGAGCGCTTTTCGGGCGAGAGCATGTCGAGCGAGTGCGCCCGCTGGTCCAGGCCCAGGCGCCGACGCTCCATGCTGCGGATGGTGGCGGCGCGCTGCAGCTTGTCGTGGATCTCCACGCTCAGCCGCCGCCGCGTCTCCCGGAACTCGGCCGTCACGTTGGCCTTCCATTCAGCCGCGTGCGCTTTGATCTCGCCCACCTGGCGGAGAGACGGGCAACCACCGGGAGCTGAGACACAGCCCGCGCCCCCACCCTCGCATTGCCCCCAACCCTCACGCCCAGGCACCCGCCTCCACCCGCCCTCCCATCGCCCGCGTCCCCCACGCCCCCCCCCACCGCCACCCCCGCGCCCAGCACCCGCCTCCGCCCGTTCCCAACCCCCACGCCCCCCCCCACCACCCCCCCCCCGCCCCCGCAGCCCTCGGGGGTCCCCGTGGGAAGGAGGCCCGGAGGCGGAGGCCGCGCGTTCGCCCCGCCAAGGCGAGGAGAGGCTACTTGCACCCTCGCCCTTCCCGCTGCCCGGACGCGCGTCTCGGGAGGAAAGGCTCGGGACTAAGGTAGCTCCGGGAGGCGCATGTGCTGGGCAAGCCCATGGCCGCCGCCGGAGACCTGGACTGGGGAAGGAAGGGGAGGCGGATGGGCCTCGTTTCCTGCCTGACTCGGGAGCAGTCGTGTATAGGTCAGACGGGCACAAAGCAGGCATCAGCTGGTCCTCTGCCCTGCCCTGTCCCTCCAAGACCTCCGCCTGGGTTAGGGTGCCCCACTCGTCCCCACTAGCCTGGAAATGGCCTGGCTCTAAAGGGGAAAGTCCTGTGTCACCCCGTATCTGGGCAGTGCCGTCTATGGCCTTGTGCTACGCGGCTTGCTCTGGTTTGAGAAGACGACCCCTCGCCCCCAACGCAGGGGACCTGATAACCAACTGCTGAGGGCGCAGCAAGGGGGAATCTTCTGCCAGAGCCCGCGGAGCGCGCTTTCTCAGAGTGGAGTCTTGCGTGAGGATCAAGACCAACTCTCTGGGCTTTGTTTCAGCAGGACTGTTAGTACAAGACTCATGCTTTCCTGTACGGAGGAGTAACTCGGATTTTTGCATTGAGAACTGTCAATATTATGTTGTTGCGTTCTCTTCTGTTATGGCTGATTTGGCTGATTTTCAGCAGGTCAGTTAGCTCTCTGGGCAATCAGACTGGAGAGTACATTGACACCGCTTCTGCAAGCCAGGAAAATTAAACCACTGCCCCCGGGGAATGGTGTGGGAGATGGTGCCTTCTAAGGAGGCTCTCCCAGGACCCCCGCATGGAATGACTGCACCCTGGGCAGGGAACTGTCGCCCTTAAAAAGCTGTCCCTCTGTTTTTTGGGGTTTTATCCCCTTTCCTTTCTTTACTGCTTTTCTTCTCTTTACCCTTTCTGTTTCTTATCTCTTTTCCTCTCTTTCCAGAACCACATGGGCATTTTTTTTTTTTAACTGCAGAATCTACCTTTGCTCCTTAGGCATCCCTTTTCTTGCCTGTGTGTAGGCTTCCGTGCACATTTATTTGAGAAGGGAAAGGCTGTTGAGTGTGTGCCCCTGGCCGCAGAGATATATTTGTTTCTACAGGTCTGACAACCCGGAGGGGACGTGAGTGAAAGGGACCCCGAGACTTCACCCCTCACAGCCAGCCACAGTTCAATAACTTCTGTCTCACATGGAATTGAGGAAAAAGCATGTAGCTACCGACTGGGGGCAGTTGTACACCTCCCCCACCTGCAGTCTACCTATGCTGACTATGTCTGGATATTTTTTCCCTGTTTCATTTCTTTTTAAAAATAAGTTGCCGTTTACTAATTTTTCCAGGAGCCGTGGGCTGGTAAGTGAGTCACCAGATTTTCCTCACCTGCTGAAAGAGGATCCAGAAATAACTGCTCTCCCATTTAATGTGGCATTTAAAACCATTCAAGGATTCAAAACGAGGACGTCTAGGGGGCCTCCACTTAGCAGGAGACGGTCTAGCCCATAGAACAGAGACAGGTAATTCTAGACACGAGAATGCTCCTGGCCTCAGGAACATTCAGAGAATATGGAAGGAATCCTACCTCTTCTTTTGTCTTTTTGGATAGAACGCGTAGCCAGTCTCCGATCATGCTGAGGACAGCTGCAAAGTAGGCAAGGCCAACAAGGATCCAAAACCACACCAGGGGCTTATACCACTCCCGGTAATTGATGCCAGCGTTTCCCCCTGAAAACAGCCAAGCGTTACCTTAACCAGGATCTGGCAAACAGCCATCGCAGAGCAAACACATCCCAGTCCATGTAGCAGAGATGCGGCTGCATCACCATCCAACACTCAGCTGCTCAGCCTGCTATATACACGATGTGACAGGGTGGGAGGGCAAGGAAAAGTCATGTCTCTTCCCCAAAGGAGCCTGACCTGTGGCTTCACTTATTTTGAATCTTGACCAATAATCTCAATACATCACGTGCTGTGATTAGTCACTCAATCTGGTTCAACTCTTTGCTACCCCATGGACTGTAGCCCACCAGGCTCCTCTGTCCATGGGATTCTCCAGGCAAGAATACTGGAGTGGGTAGCCTATCCCTTCTCCAGAGGATCTTCCCAACCCAGGAATCAAACTGGGGTCTCCTGCATTGCAGGCAGATTCTTTACCAGCTGAGCTACAGGGGAAGCCCTTAATACATAACACGTAATAACAAAAAATATGTCAGTGACCAGCCTGATCCATCCAGTTTAAACCTGAGCTTGACGATGAATGACTTGAATTAGAGGACAACAGAGCAGGCCCAGTTTCAAGTTTTGTGGGGTTTTTTTTTATTTTCTTATTGGGGTACAGTTGATTTTGTCAAGTTTTTCTTAAACTGCCTTAAATTTAATAATAATAAAATACCATTAAATAATCTCAAATGCTTTGGAACTGTTGGCACCATTTCCTCCTTAAGCACATACGCATTTACCAAGAGACGAGTAGGTATGTGGCAGTAAAATTAGACTTAATGGTATCCCTGAGACTTAGACCCAGGCAATAGTGATTTAAGGCTGACCAAAGGATGGGGTTTACATAATGCTGATCCATAGGGTCAATTAGACCAAGTCAATTAGAATCACTGCGCTAGAATAAAAAGGGACCTTCAAGGCCAGCTAGTTCAATCCCTTTATTTTACAAATAGGGATTATAGTAAAAAATCCATCAAACCAAATTGACTAGTTGCCTGACTGCATTGACTGGCTGTTCCATTGAAAAGACCAGTCGTTTATTCCAAGTAAATAGCCTATTTATTCTAGACCTTCTACAGGCCTGCCCATGGTAGCCAAGCAACAGAGATTCTAAACCCAGCCGCCTCTCCTAAAGAAGTGAAGACACTTCATGAAATACCTGTCCATGAGATGTCATTTTCCAGTGAAGCCGGCTCGTGGCCATTTCTAAGAAAACCAACATTAGCCATGGATTGGAGATTACTGTACCCAGTGGTGGGTGGTCGCTGACTTTGCCGCTGGGTTGTGGTTGTAACCTCAGGTAGCACCTCTGAATCTGCACTGAGCTCTTACGGAATCTCTAATACCTCCCAAAGGCGGCTGGGCAGGCTCTGTGGCTTGTGGTTCTTCTCCGTTTGCAGCGGAGTCCACAAGGTCTCCATAGCTACCGCCACTTCTGAAAATTAGAATCCCAAACTTTGCTAGAAGGCTCTGTGGCAAGCCCCGCTTGGCCTGGTTTCACTGCCTTGCTTTTCCCTTTCAGGCCGCTCTCCCCTTCTCCCTAGCTTTCCCTAGGATACTGTTGGAGTTTCTGCAACATGAAGTGAGTTTTGAGGTTCACTTCATCTCTGTGCTAGGCAGGAGAACTGCCACTTTTTCCTTGGAGCTCTCTGAAAGTAAATATTTACCTTAACCAATCACCACCGTCCAAAAGAGATTGTCACTAGGGCGCGCTAGCAAACAAGGCAGGAAACACCCTTCTGCCTGTTCCTTTATCAGCTGCTGGCCTGGAATTCAGGTGCTGTCAGTCAGGGTTGTTAGACTGTCCTAAAGTGAGTCAGCTACAAAATAAACCAGCATTAATCCTGCATGGTGATTGACGTTCTGATTCTGTTTCCAAGCTGATGCCTTGTCAAATCACAGAAACCATCAGCTCTTGTTAACCTATCTTTTTAAACGATGGACAGCCTTCCCTTTCGCTCTCAGAGTATTGCCAAAAAGGCTTTGACACCCTTCCAGGGTTCCAAAGCAGCAGTGCTTCAGATTGGTCTCTGTAAGCTATGGAAACGGCAGCTTAGAAGGGCCTGGTCCAATCGCAGTCAGAGCCGTGAATTAAAACAGACCCGAGTCTGCAGAGACTACGGGCAAAGGAAATATGGTTCTGTAATCAGCGGTAGGTAAGGGAATCAAAACAGTGCTATGCAGCTCAATATCCTCTAACAAGGTGAATGGGAAAAGAACAGATACGTATATGTGTGTGACTGAATCGCTTTGCTGTACATCAGACACTAACACAACATTGTAAATCAACTATATTCCAATAGAAATTTTTAAAAAATTTTTAGAAAGGTACTCTGTGGGAGACATATTTACATGTACAACCACTGTTGTCAAAACCCATAGGAAAGCATGTCCATTTTCTCTGACCCAATTACAACCAAAATAGACTTTAAAACTTTCTAACCGTTCTTTGTATTTATTTATACACTTGGCCATTAGATTCATTAAAATCTTCCATCGCTAAAGATCACTAAAAATCAAAAGAACAAAGCCGTGCTATGTCCATGACTCTGGAGGTCGCGGCCTTTCCAGGTAAGAGGACATCAGGCTAAGTGCAGGTGTGTGCTAAGCGCTCACAGCCCATGGTGGCTCATAAGGATAAATAATAAACTTAAATCATGAGCAGTTTTTTGAATCTCCTGTTCCCCAGGCTGTGCTATTTGTGACCCAGATTAACAGACTGAATGGAGCAACCGGTTAGAGAGCAGGGTTTGCCCCACGTGTCCTCCAGACAGGCCAGAGTCAGCACAGAGGACTCTGCAGCACGGCAGAGTGCAGATGACGCTTTGGGGAGCTGAAAGATGTTGGTGAAATAGCCCCAAACTGCAGCTGGGGTTGGAACCTCACTGCTTTTCCCCGCAGAGCAGCTACGGACGATGCTAAGGAATGAACCGGACAGCCGCCCTCGGTACCGTCCCGTCCCCGTGCGCTGTCCGTCCAGAGCTTCAGGCCTCCCATCCAGCGGCACCAAGCGGCCCGCTGCCCAGGCTGGGGGCTGCTCAGTACTGGAGCATTGAGGACAAGCCAAGGCGGGTGGGGCCCCAGGCCTCAGGCTCGTGTAAGCAATGCTTAATCACTCTGACTCGGCATTCGTAGTCCTCAAGACTGTCAAAAGGAAGAAAACATTTAAAACTGCTGTTTCTACAAAGGCAACTTGGGCCTTCGTCTTCCTAGCTGGAATAGCTGCAAAACTCTTCCGGTTGTCTGTTTCCTTCGAATTACGGTGGAGACAGCCAACCTTCAACATCCTTTCTAGAATTTACCCTTTTACCAGATTCCAGGAGAGGGGATCCCTGGCCTCTTTAAGTTACGACAGAGTTACTGGGTCAGAGTGTTCACTTCTGGGGGTAGAAACAGCAGTTGTCTGACCACCTAGAACTAATCCATCCATAAAGAGAAAGGTGGCCTCCTCCTTCTATCTCTACCTTCCCATCACCCTGGGGGAGCGATACACATAAAAAGTCAGGTTTCATTTCAGTTTTTAAGCTCCCTGTCCCTAGAAGAATTTGATGGTGATTTATTTTGCTTCCTTAAGAATGGTTCATTGGCATTTATTTTTACAATGAAGGCTGTTGTGTCTATATAGATTCATGCAGGATCCATTATAGTATTAAATTCCCTTGGAGCGGTTTTCAACTCCAGGTGATCACCTGGGTCTTTAGTCCTGTATCCGGACATGCCTGGAGCAACTTTCCCAGGGATGGTGACTCTGCCCTCAGCATCAGGAAGCTTCATCTGCAGGTTCCTGCAGACTAAACTCAATGCTCATCTCTCCAGAGCTTCATATTTGCCACTTGCTAATATAGCCTTTGTCAGTTGATGCAAGGAGACTTAATATAATTCAGAAGCCCGAAATCCAATGAGAAATTCATTTCACTCATAATTCATATGATGATGACGATAGCCTGCCTCCTGAGTGGAGGAGGGGAGATACTGGCTTTCTCCCAAGGCAGCAGCCGGCTGCTATTTCCCTCACAGGGGACCGCAGGTTTGGAACAAGCCTGTGCCCAGCAGTGGTGATGCTGAGCCTTTTCCATTTGTTTCTCCATCTTTTCTGGTGGTTCGGAAGAGCACTGACCGCAGTCAATATTTTCCCCACCAGGGCCCCAGTGACTGGGATATTCCAGAGTACTTACCTGCCACAAAATCACCAAAGCCCACCGTGGTGAGGGTGACCACCACAAAGTAAATGGACTCCAGGGCTGTCCACCCCTCAATGTATTTGAAGATGACGGCGGGGATTGTCACAAACACAACACAGCCGGCCAAGATGAACAGGATGGTTGAGATGACCCGGATCTTGGTCTGACTCACTTGCTTTTTCTAAAGAAGAGCAAAGGAGAAAGAAAGACAGGGAAGTCAGCTCCATCACCCTGGATTCGGAAGACAAGAGGTAGAGAGAGAGGAAAAAAATGTCAGTGGCTTTGGACCTTTCTTTGTTCGTGAGCAGCTTGGGGAGCATCTGATGAAAGCTGTGGACCCTCTCCTAGAAAAAAGCACGGACCAAAGTTTTCAGCTGGTCTCGGCCGTCCTTGGGCAAGAGACCCCTTGAATGTCTTTTGCGTGGTTCCCTGACTCCAGCCCAAATGCTGACTTCCTAACCCCCTCACTGGGGTAAATGAGACTGCTTCCCAAGAAAGGCCATTTTTGCCGCCGTTTCTCACGTGGCTTCACTGACCCTCTGTTAGGAGGCACAGGTTTGGGGTTCCTTCCACAGCGGCGGTGATGGATTTGCACCTGGCTTCCCCTGAGTCAAAGGGCACATGCTGGAAAAACTGGCTCCAGAGACAGGCCAGAAGGTTAGGAAGAAAAGAAAAACACAGCTGAGCCCACCCTCACTTGTGACAGAACTCCAACCGTCTGCCGATGTGCTCCTTCACCTTCCTGTCCCCCCGCGAGGCGGTACACTCATATCACATTTTTCTTTTGAATCGCGTGTGTTTGAGTCAGCGCTGGGCTCGTCATGTTTGCTGGCTGTGCAACCACCGAGGGACGGGCAGGGGTCCACGTCGAATGGCAGGCTCAGTGTCTAAGACAAACAACAGAAGCTCCAGCTCGAGTCAGCCTCCGAAGGATTCAGTAGTTAGGGGGTGAAGATGCACCTAGACTGGGAATGACCCTGACATCAGGGCAGAAGAATCCTGCCTATGGGGTACCAGGGGTAGACTGGAGGCGCTGGGGTCCCCTTGAATGACACTCAAAGCAACGCTGGCATCGCCTGCGAGCTGAACAGTCTGTTAAGGTCCTCTCAAAGCTCCCCGTTTGCCATTGCAGACTTTCATCGGGGGACCCTAGCACCAGCACGCGACCAAAAACCCCATGTCTCATAAATGTCTGTTTAACACCAGGGTGCCCGGACCTTTGTACACTGCCTGGATTGACTCCCTGCAAAAGTACACATTCAGAGAATCGATATGGAAATCTCTACCATGGGATCTTTTAATATTTTCTAGTCCTCACCTTCCAGCGATTTAGAGGGCAGAGCAGGTCCGGAGTACAGAGCACATTTGGCATTCAGACACCGCATTTTATGGATGCAAAAGGAGCGTGCATAAGAAGCTGCTAATCAGGCAGAGCTGAGAGGAGAATGCAGGCGTGATTAGCTCACAGACCAGCATGCAGGGATGGAAACCGCTTTTACAGTTACTCAGCAGTTCACCAGTTCAGAGTCGCCGGAGTGCTCCTCTAAGGAAAGAAACCAGACTAACCTCCATGAAGAACAGGCCACCCTGTTTCCCTTCCAGGAAGGAAGGCTGAGAATGAAACCTCATCACGGGGGATCCTGTCACCGTCCTGGAATTCCTAACCTTTCCTCAAGACAGGGACACCCCAGCCTGGTTTTCCAGGCCAAGAGAGATTCTCCTACAAGCGACCATGCGGCTCAAACGGGAAATGGCTGTGTTCTCCGAGACAGCAAGATTGGTTATGACACTCCTTCCATCCTGCCACTCCCCTCTTCCTTCCTGACTTACGGAGACAAACCTCAGAGCCACCTCTTCCCTGGGAAACGCCGAGGGACACGGAGCTGGGACAGGCTGGGGGGAGGCTGCCGTCCTCTGCAGTTGAGCCTCACAAGCACCAGTCCCACCTGCCGAGGCCCTGAGTCCCGGGGGGGTCCAGTATGGTGGAGCCGTGGGCAGGCAAGTGACAAAGAAGAGCTATAGTGGCGAATATTTATCTGCACAAATCTCCATCCGCACTGAGATCAGTACAAGTGAGATCAAAGTGTTAGTCGCTCAGTCGTGTCCGACTCTGTGTGACCACGTGGACTGCAGCCCGCCAGGCTCCTCTGTCCATGGGATTCTCCGGGCCAGAAGACTGGAGTGGGTTGCCATGCCCCCCTCCGGGGCATCTTCTTGACTCAGGGATCAAATGTGGGTCTCCCGCATTGTAGGCAGATTCTTTACCGTCTGAGCAGCCAGGGAAGCTGTTCCCTAAATATTCATAGGAAAAGCTAAAGAAATACAACTGTTCATAGAAAGGAGTCAAGTTCTCTGACTTCTAAGAGAGTACTCAGGGTATAAAGTGGGAACAGGAAAAAATAAATTCATCCATGCTGTAATATAGTCCCCATCTCCTTAGAAAAGCCATCAGAAAAAAATAAAATTTATTGATTTTTTGCATACTAAAATACACATTTTTCCCCACAAATGAAAATACTGTGACAAGACAAATTACCTGAGAACCACAAAGAATGTTTTACCCATTTCATGTACTTGCGTATTGGATCTTGTAGAACTTAGAGGGGGCAGTTAAGACCCCTCTGAGAATTCAGGAACTTCGTTGTTATTATTGGCCTACTTTTGTCTGTAAACACAGACAAAAGCCAAAACCCAAAAGGAGATTTTTATCATAGATCATTAAGTTAATCTAATTGCTGGCAACAGGAACATCATTTTCCCCCTCAATAAATTGTCCTCTTCAAATGCATAATGAAATTAAAGTGAATTAAATGTTTGCGAGACACTTGTTAAGTCAGAAATTAGGATGTGAACGCAAGTGCAATCCAAATGAGGCTGAGGCTGGCAGAGGAGAGTGGCAAGTCCGTGGGAAGCTGGAGCCGTTCCCAGGCTCCAGGAGGTGGGCAGAAGGGAAGATGGCACCGGACAGCGTTTGTTTGGTAGCAGAGGGATGTGTGCAACAGACGCTAGAGCGTGGTGTCTTAATGGCATTATCTGTCGGAGAGTTTATCTGCAAGTTAGCATTTCACCACTGCTCACTGCCTAAGCCAACCAGAGTGTCCCTGGACCACTTCCTCCAGACACCCTAGGGTGATGCTCAGCAAATCCCTGGAGGCTTAAATCATCAGGGTATTTTAGGGACTTACAAAATCAAGTGTCGTGTGTGTGTGTGTGTGTATGTGTGTAGGTGTATGAAATTGTGTGTACCTGTACTTCCCTATAAAAGGAAGAGGTATGGGTGTAAGGTTTTGATCGTATCTGTTATTCTGGAGACCCACATTTATGCTGTCCTCTAGACACTTAAGAAAACAGTTGCCTTAACTGAACATTTTCAACCGTAGCTTCCACAATGGAACCACCAACGCGTCATCCAGTGATCTCTGGGTTTCTCCTCCCCACTAGCTCCACACCCATTCACCACTGCTGTAAAATGGTGCTTAAGAACTTGGAGTCTCGGGGCAGCCTGCCTGAGACACATTCCATCCCCACTGCCAAGTGACTGAGTGACCTTGGGCAAGTTTCTCAACTTCTCTGTGCATCAGTTTCTTCCTCTAAAAAATGGAGATAAGAGAGTCCGCCTCACAGGAGTGTTTGGAAGATTAAATAAGCGTGTGAAAGCTCAGCTCAGTGCCTGCTAAATGCTGATGACTGTTACCAATCATTTCTGATGGAAAAGTTCAAGTCTTTGCTTAGATGTGGGCAGTCCCAAATTGAACGCTGCCCTCTGCTATGGAGGAATGTTCCCTCACATCTGGTTTTAAGATAAGCTCTGTCTAGCTTCAGGTGGTTACTGCTGGGTTTGCCTTCCTGGATACATTGTCTAGTATGATGACCCCCTTTTTCAGTAAGAAAAAAGTCCTCATTTTCTCTTGGTTCTTCTGTGCTGACCCAAGATTGAGCCCTCAGACAGTCTCAGCTCACAATCTTGGAAGCTTTTCTGTTTGCCTTTCAGTTAGTTCCCCGCACCACCACCTTTTTGCATCATCCTTCTGAAACTGACAAGAATCGCAGATAATGTTTGGGGTGTCAGGAACCAGTGGCAGAGAGTCCCTCAAAGGGACCGCCCTTGTGTTCCTTGCCCCTCCCACCTCCCCGCCACTTAGAGAGTCAAGCTGTGTTTCCATGGTGGGGTTGCTAGGCAAAAATCCCGTTGCTTATTTACCAATAAGCAGAGCGGTTACCATAAAGTTTGGTGAGAGCCCAGATCTGACTGAGTTAATGTGTTCTTAGGCTAACAAAACTGTTATTTGGGAAGAGATGGTTTGATACAATATTTGGGCAGAAGTGATAGAATACTTGTATGTATCTGTCCAAATCTTGTTTTCTCACTTTGTGGATTAGATGGTGTGGTCTTTCTTTCTCCATATGCAAACAACATTATGCACAACTATTTCCTGCATCCGGCTGGCTGGCGCTAAGTGTAGGAATTTTTGAGGAACTCAAACCCCACCTCCTGGAGAGTTCTTTTAGTTGTCAAAATTATGTGCAATTATTCTGAAGAGCAAAATAAGTTTCTTACACAGGAGACCGGGGAGCCAGTTCTAAGAGCGCTCCTTCGAGAGAGGATGTACATGCTAGCAATTCTGACAGCGTTTGCCTGCTTCAGACCTCAGAGGGCGAAGCCACACACCCAGTTCCCATTAAGCATGATAACCTACCAAGCTTGTTGGTTTCCACGGTCTTATTTTGGAGAACAAGTACATCTCCATTCACCCGTGGGCTATTCCTTTTTTTATTTTTTTACCCTCCTGCTCTAACATCCACTCTTCTTTTTGCTTTTATGCGATTTCTTACAATTCTGAGATTAGTGAGATCCAGATTCTTGTGTCTGACTGAGAAACTTTATTTGCTGTGATTTTTAGCCAGGGACGTTGGAGATTTCACTGAGTAATAAAGATGCTGCAATAAAAATCCTAGGACAGGAGCTAGACACGCAGAGCTCTAGTTTATGGTTCCGTTTTGTTTTGTTGAAATGCAAACACATCACCATGGTAATACGCTTGAGCTGAAAATGATTTCTCAAAATGGAAAGATAATAGGAGCTGCCTCACAAAAGAGCCGACTTTATTTTCTGATATTATTATGTTTTCCACAAAGACTCCTTTTCTAAAAGTCCAGTTCTAACTAATGGTTTCAACATCA